TTTCTCCCAAAGGCTGTCCAAGGTCTGCGTAGGTTGGTCCTAGAGATGCAAAGCTCTAAACAAAAGCCAATCACCCAGAGAAAGCTGGTTTACCAGACTCTCAGCCTCTTTGGGATCTATCTTATCTTCCCATGATATTCCATTTTTATTTCTCCCGCTTTCTCTCTTCTGACTATTTTTGATTCCGTCTCCAGCACTATTAGAGACTTCCTAGGAAGGGAAATTATCTATAATGGAGCAGGGACATTAAAAACCTCAGTTTCCTTGGAAATTATTGAACTCATAAGGGTTCACATTGGGTTTTGAATTTTGAGAAGCGTTATAAGGTTTTTTTTTTAATCAGAATATTTAACCCTTGCCCTCCATAGTTCTGCAGATTCTGTTTTTTAATCTTTAGGCTGACGAGAGTCTTTCATAAAGCTCCAGTTGATGCCAGGTTGTGGAAGGATGTCTTTCTAAATTCTTAAGGAAAGTAAGCCCCCTCAAGGAAGCCCGGAAGCAGCTGATGCCCACACCTCTGCAAAGGCAAGTGTGGGTGCCTTTCAGACAATGTGTGTGACCTACACCTAAGTCACAGAGATCTGAACTCATGTCTATAACTCCATAACCAGCCACACTGCGGCATCTCCCACCATATCGAAATGTGATGCCTCCATGTTTTGCTGTGCAAGCTGACTGCTAGCAAAACTGGAAAACATTATATATAGCAAAGGAAAGGTGACCAGCATATGGAGCTACACTGCAGCCGAGAGCCCACTTATGGGAATAAAACAACAGGCTCTGCAAAGGTTATTCACTTAGCCCCAAACCATTCTCTAATTGCAAGAGTGAAAAGGATGAGTCATTGGGGCTTGAAGAGATGGCTCAGGGGCTAATGGCATTTGCTGAGCAAGTGTGAGGACATCCGATCTGAGACCATCACCTGGGTAAGAAGCTGGTTGTGGTCACATCTGTAACCCTAACACTCTGGGAAGCAGAGACAGAAGGGTCACTGAGGCTTGCTGGTGACCAGCCTAGCTCTAGGTTCGGTGAGAGACCCTGTTTCAAGGGAGTGACATCTGAGGGACAGATCAGGACACTTGACGTCTTCCTCTAGGTTTCTTCACCCTGTCTAAACACCCCAACTCACGTGTCTATACATAACAGGCATATGTGCTTGTGCATGCAAGCATGCACACACATACAAACACACAGGTACACAAACACACAAACACATGCAAAAATAATAATAAAATAGTGATCATTTTTAAAATTAAAAAATTGTCACTTATTTCCAGTATTTCCTGTGAAATCCAAGACTGCAAAGGGGTGAGAACTGGGTCACCTCTTTATGAGAAGAAAGAGGAGAGAAAGAGATAGGAAGGAGGGAAGGAAGGAAGGAAGGAAGGAAGGAAGGAAGGAAGGAAGGAAGGAAGGAAGGAAGGGAATGTGAAAGTGTGGTTTAAAACTCGGTCTCTGGCCAAGGCTGTAAGGCTGTAATCCGAACCAGACATGCCAAATAGAGCTCACGGTGTACAAACCCCACAGCCTGTCCCTAGAGCATGGTGGGGCATACTTCTCCAGGTGTAGTGTCGTTTAGCAGATCAGATGACAGCAGCCAACTTTTGACTTTATCAGGAAGATTTTTCTTTCATTAATAAACTTGGTCAATAAAGAATTTTCTGCAACATAGGGATCAGCAAGCAATATGTTTTTAGGAACCCCGGCATGTATGGTAACGGAAACAGACAAATATGGTTCGCACTTTGGCATTGGCAGGGTGATCTTTTGGAAGGCATTTCACCTTCCTGGGCATTCGTTTCCTTTTGTTTCAAACGATGTCTGGACTCACAACTTACCTCCCAGCTCTGATTGTCTGTAACTGTATTCCATGGGCTCTAGATGAATAATCACTTTCTTGGTCATCATCCAACAAATGTCTTCCTATAGGAAACCAGTTATTCTATGCATTTGTATCAAGTTGTATTTATCTCTTGAAGATGAGCTACCCAGCCCTGATGTCCCTCCTTGTGCCAGAACAAAACTTATAGACGGAACTAGACCACAGAGAAAAGTAGAGCTAAAAACGATTTATATAACTTTCTGATTTGGGGGTATAATGAGACTCAGATAAACTAAATCCAAAGGGAAAAATAAATATAATGAATTTTATAATGAGGATCATATTCTTGCAATATGAATTCTTAGTTATTCTTTTAATTATGCTTTAGAATAGCCACTACACATCTTGAACCCAAAATAAATGTGCGGAGTAACCAACCCTTCAGGCAGTTGTATGTGTGGAATGACTAGAAGAATATTAAAATGTGTCCCTTCAGGTCCCCAGCGAATGTGGGAAGCTAATAACAGGCATGTTTTCTCTCTATTAGTCAAAGTTCATGGCTACGAAACAATTTACCCCAACCTTACAACGCCATATATTTATTACCACACAGGACAGGATAAATGGGGTCCTCTGTTGGGGGATTCACAAGGCCTTAGCTGAGGTGGCAGAAAGACTAATCTGCCTAATCACCTGGAAGACTGACTAGAAATGCACCCACTTCCCAGCTTCTTCAGGCTGTAGGCAGCTTTATTCAGGTGGGGTTGTTGAGAGTCCTAGCTCTAATGACTGTAACTATTGTCTACCTTCGAATCCTATTGATTCCCCAACTTTACTGGAGGTCACTCACAGTACCTTTTACACTAGTTTTCCCAACAATGCCTTCATCAAGACAGCAAAGTTGTCTTTAGAATAAGTACAATAGCAATATAGATCCTCGTGCAACATAATCACAAGAGGGATAGAGTAGCATCGCATATGCTTGTAATCTTCTCCTGGATAGGCTCAACTGCCAATCACACCCATAGCTGAGGAATTGCACAAGGACAGAATCCTGAGAAGGCTGGTATCATAGTCACCACCTTAAACTCTATCTGACCCCAACAGAAAGCGCAGGATTCCTGCTCCTTGTCTCAGTCTCTGAGTAGAGACTACCTTGCAGGGGACAATGTCAACCATAGACCTATATATAGTAGCCATATTGGAGCCAAGTCACAGACAGGCTTAAGTCCCTCCTCTGCTAACATGTTAGAGTCTCCATTGTTGTATCAAACACACTTAGGATTGCTGTGTAGAAGAAACTAGAAAGTAACGGACTTGTGGACATCAGAATGTCACAGGCATCCTGACATCCGGGCCTATGGTCAAAATCAGCCAAGGCCAGAAAGCACATGGCTGTCACAGGCAAAACTTAGAAGGGGACATGGAGCCTGCTGGGTCCAAAGAGAGGATCAACCATGCCCTTAGCAGGCTGGTAAAGACAAGCAACAGATTTCCAGCAACAGGGGCCAGCTGGGCAAGCATGAGCGGACCAGGGGAAAGAAAGGATGCAGAAAACCAGTAAGGACCCCAGGAGGCCTGCATCAAGACCTGCAGGGCTATTCCCCCACTGCCATAGGGATGCAGCAAATTCACCCATCCATCATTTCTAGGGGGAGAAGTCTGGGAACCTGAGCAGGACTGTTCTGGTACGAGGAGACTGCCATATTGCTAATTGGCTCGTTCAAAGTTCACATTCATTTCCCTGCTACCTGAGGGCTGTAGAATCTCGAAGAAAATTCAATCAGTTATAGAGAAATAAAGGAACTACATTTTCTTCTCGCAATTGGATTGTGTGAGTAAATCTGAAATCTTGCTACACCTGCAATGTAACAGACACTATATGCGTATGTTTTCATAATCTTCTCCCCCAGTCCTATGAGGTAAGTGTTATTACAGTCCCATTTTACAAATGAAGTGGGAACTCGGAGAGGTTAAGTAATTTCTGCAAGGTCACACAGCTGCTAAGTGGAAAAGTTTGCTGAGAGTCCCGAATTATCTGACTGTGACACGTGGCCTTGATCGCAGTGCCTATGTATTAGAGTGGCCTTGCTTCTACAACAAGCATTTATCAACTCTCGATGGCCCGGCACAGGGCTCACTGATTATTACTTCTTTCATATCCAGGCTAAGGAAGTGGAAGAAACTCTACTGGAGAGTACCATTTGGAACCCAGCAGTCCTCCCTTCCTCTGACTCAGCCTCCTTTCCACTCAGCCAAAATATGCAGGACGAAAGACTGTAGAGGATCTCCTATACTGACCAAACTTCAGTGGCAAACGGCCACCTACCTGTAAAGGCACCTAAAAGACAAAGGGATAGACTATGAAAGCCATATGGTGCTCCTTACCCTAGCTCCATCCACACACAGCCTACGGATATATATTTCCATCCCTTTCTGTCGCCAAGTCAAATTTTCCTTCCATTAAATATAAAGGTCAAAATATTTTTTAAGCTCTATTCTAATAATGAAACAGCAAAGATAATTCATGGAGCCCGAAAGCTTCGGTTTGGCCTCCAAGGACTCTTCAGTTTGTTACAAGGGCTGGGCTGGCTTCACACAAAGAAAGGCTGGGTGGACCTGACATTGGGTAGACTGGACCAGGAACTACCTGTGCTTTCTAGTACCCTTCGAAGGTTAACTGGGGGGTAACTTTAAGGACCGTGGCTCATGGGAAATAAAGCAAAGAGCCCAGAAGGAAAGTGGTACCTGACCCTTAATTCAAGCTCAGTAGCTCTGTCTTGATCTCCAATATACCCTGACTGAGCACATAAAATGTAGGAAAAAATGGTGTTAGATATGAATGAGCCAGTGGTTTAAAAAAAATACATTCGCTTAGGCACCGTATAGACATCTCTGCCCATCCCTGTGATCCGAGGTAGAAACTGTTGGGCAGATGACGGCCGCCAACTCAGTCTATCATCCTCAAAGGCTGTTTGAAGAAAGAGAAAAAAATCATGACCACTAGAAGCATACAGACCTGAGGTCAATATATGAATCTTGTCAGGCAGGCACAGTAGGATCCTGACCTTGTAGCTCTAAAGAATCCGAGAGACCATGAATTTAAACAGGACACAATATATTATAGCCACTAAACAATGAAGGTAGACATGAGACTCTTCTTCAAGGTTCTGCCTCTTGCAAGCTGAGCCATCCTGGGCAAGTCATCCAACCTCACTGCTCCTTCAGTCTCTCGTGTGTAAATGAGAGAGGTGAGTGTGTAAAACCACTCACCTCATAAGCCTATTATAGGACCAGATCAATATCCACGAAGCATTTAGCATGTGCTTGACTCATACAGTAGAAGGACGAGAATTCCAACTATTAAAACGAACAATAAAGTCTCAGACATCAATCTGGCCATATAGCCGTCCTCTCAAGAGCTGTGATAACTTTAGCAGAAAGTCTCTGAGAAAACAGACAAAAGAAAGAGAACAAAGAAGGAAGAGGTCATGTTGGTAAAATAATATTAAGTAGAAAGTTTACATTGGAAAGAGACAAAGTGCGTGCATTGTTCACAGACTTGAGGCCAAGTCTATTCTCAGATATAGGGCGGCAGCAGCCAGGATGAAAAGCCCAGTAGTTTGGAGTGACTCACTGGATCCTATTCTCAAAGTAAGGTGCAGTCTTTACACAGGTGCCTGGAGAGTGCACAAGGCACCCAACAGCCAGTGGCCGCCTGAGTCACAGTGTCCACTGGCTAAAGCCACACCCCCGGGTGAGGACAGCCATCCATTCTGGGAAGGATTTGAGCAGTCACGGACACAAGGCCACCAGAGAAAGTCTGGTGAGATAACTCAGTGTTTGCGCTCTTCTGTGATGGCCTGAGTTCAGTCCTGGGATCCCGTGGCAGGAAAGAACTGACTCCCAAGGGAGTTGCCCTCTGACTTCCACCTGTGCCCCGATACCCTAGCACCGTCATCCGAAAAATCAGGAAAATCAAGAAATCAGAGAAACCAATAAGTAGGCTACCTCTCTAGTAGGCTTTTAGCTTTTCAAGCAGCCTTCCATGTATCATTTAACAAGCAAGTATGTGGTACCCAGGTGTGCAAGGCTTTGCATTAAATAAAAGATAAAGAGAGTAGGCTGCAGGCATCTCCTGTCTCTGACACCTAGGGATCCAATAATCATCAGAGAACCTTTTTCCTAGGCAGGCCCCCAGGCATTAAGTTCAGACAGCATCTTTGCAACCTCGTGTTTTATTTTAATAATCTAAAAGCCAATTCCCTCAAATTATCCATCAGAGGCAGGGAAAAAAAGGATCACCTTACTTGTAACTTTTAAAATCCAAACTGATTAATTTTTCAAATAAATAATTTAAATCTTAGACATGAAACCATTTGGAAAAGAGTTCTCACTTGAAGTCGTTTTGCTCTGTACCTTTCAACACCAGTGGATTTCATGGAACACGGTGTTTGTCTGATCTGCAACATAATTTCCAAAAACGACCTATCAAAGAGAGAAAGCAGGGATTCATGGCGGCAGTCAATGTTCCTTTCTAACTCTGAACAGGAAGTGGCAGAGCAAAGACAAGGCTGCAGCCAAATCAGTCTCTGAGACCTAAATAAATGCTCCTTGTGGATTAAAGGGCAAGAATTTAGGCGCTAAATCTAAAAAAGAAATGCTGTTAGATGCCCTATCTACCCCCAAACACTGACACACAACCGATGGACTCTTGACAAGGACGATGCTATTCCACGTCAATCTGCCATTTGTGATTACCACATCAGATGATGCGATGGTTAATACTGACTGTCAACAACAGGATCTAGAATCACCTAGGAGCAGAGCCTCTGGGCACCACAGTGAGACATTATCTAGCCTAAACTAGCCTCTGGCCACGCCCTCAGGGGAGTGTCCTGTTAGGCTAACTGAGCTGGGTGCTGCCATTCCCTGGGCTGAGTTCCTGGGCTCCAAAGAAAGAAGAAAGCCAGCTAAGCACCAGCATCCATGGCTCTCTGTGTCCTGAGTGTGGATACAATGTGGCAGCTGCCTCCAGATCTCTCAACCAGTCTTCTCCGCCATAATGGACCAGAGCTTCAAAATGGGAGCCCTAACAAGTCTTTCCTTTTGTAGCTTGCTTTCGCCCGGGTGTTTTTATCAAAGCAACAGAGAAAGAGATGAAGACAGATCTGTGTTGGCATTATACAGTAGCTATAGAAAAGGGTGTGTCGGTAATGGGTGTGTCACCTGTATGGAGGTGAGCTCGGATCCCAACCTTCATTTCTTACCTGACACCTTAAATCTGCTTTGTGCCTTGCTAACCTATGACTGAGGAATAACGTCCCTTGTCTCACTAGGTTTGGGAAGGATCTTTTACAAAAGTTTAGTCAGCCCCCCTCTGAATCCTCAGTTTGGCTGAGTCTAACCTTCAGCTTCCCTCTCTGACCTGGCAGAATCCTGTTTGAGCAAGAATCCTAAGTGACTTCAACAAAATCCCTACCCTCAGTATCGGAGCACCCAGTGCTGGCCAACTCTTCAAGCTGGTTAAGACACTGACTCGCTTTTTCTGATACTCCTGCCTAAATCACTTCCTAGCGACCACCTCTACCCTGTATCATATATAAATCTCCGCTTGTCCCTGCTGAAGTCCCAGCCCTCTGTCAGAGCCCTCCCAGGGGTCCTTCCGCCTGTTGTCCCTGCTCACAGTTGTCTGTCTAGATAGTTTTAGTGTCAGAGTAGTGTGTTAGCATGCTGAGCCGCGAGCAAACGTTTGACCGGTAGAATTCACTACGGCACCTGACATACAGTTCACCCTCGTTGTTTTTGTTGTTCTTGTTGTTGTCGTCATCATCACCATCATTACCAACACCATCCTTGCTACACAGTGGAGTTTGGTTCATTTTAAAGAAATTCTATTGTCTCCTTAACACTTTTAGGCTCTTAAGAAACAGAGAGATAGACAGAAAAAAAATGGGACTAGTCATCTGATAGATGATAGATAGATAGATAGATAAATAGACAGACAAATGATAGATAGATAGATAGATAGATAGATAGATAGATAGATAAATGATAAATAGATTGATATGATATGACATGATATGATATGATATGACATGACATGACATGACATGACATGACATGACATGATATGATATGATATGATATGATATGATATGATATGATGGATGGACAGTGTTATTTTCTAAGTTATGAGTTTCTTCTCTGAGACTTCAGAACCTAGAACTGCCCACACTTAGCCTGAATTCCCAGTTACCCTATTGCCAGCTGTTCTGACGATGGTCCAGCTGTCTGCCCTCCTCAAGTCTCAGTTTTTTTCTTCTGGAAAATAAGAATGATGGTAGCAAGTGTTTCTAGGGCATCATGAGGACCTAATTAATCCACACTCGGTTATAGGCACCTGTCTTGTTAACATCACTGTCATAGATCAACAAGCTTGTCTCTGACTTCAAGACTCTAATCTCTAAACCAGAATCCCCTCTGCCATGAACCTGTCAGAATAATCTTAAAGAAACTGAGTCTCCTGCCACTTCACAGCTATACCAACGGATCCACATTTCACAAATAGCAGGCACAAGGCTCCTCAGAGCCCTGTCCTTCTAACTAGACCCTAAATAGTTTATCTTACTTTAATTTCCAGGCTTCCTGAGGCCCAGGTCTTTTGAGTGTTTCACTGGAATGTTAATTATGGGAAATTCCAGAATCTGTGGCTTAGAGACGAGTTCCCATTTACCCTGTTGCTTGGCACTGGGGTCCCTCTTGCCTGGCCTTCAGAACACCAACTCCCTTTCCAAAGCCCACAAGCCTGAAGCCAGATGGCAATGCAGGCAGGTCCTGCTGCTTTGAGTCCTCCTCCCTTCGCCAGCCTTGTCGTTTCATCCTCTGGCACTGGTTGTCAGTTCCTATCGACCCTCACCGGCTCTCAAGGGTGGCACCAAAGAAAGCTCTCCTTTGTACAATGGCCAGAAAGGCATTCCGAATCTCTTGCTGCACCTGAGTCTCTACTGACTATGGAGGGGATGCGGGCCCACCTGTTACCCACCGGATCACACGCCACCCACTCATTTGGAAGAAATCATTTCTTCACGTGTCTGCACTTCACTTTTCTTTTGCCTGTGCCAGTTTTCAAGGGAATACCTCCCAGCTGCTTCCATCGTTAGCACCACATGCTGGTACAGGGTGCAACCACAGGGATCACAAAGCCCATGGTTCCTGGAGACAGCCGTGCCCATGTGGACTGGGTCCCTAAAGTGCCTGCTCTGCCACCCGAAGGAGCTCAGGACTTATAGGTTTGCAGTTCTCACTGAAAGGCCAGATTTGCTCCATGGCTGGAGGTACTAAATGTCTGCTCAGCAGGAGGAAGCTTGGGGAAGGCTCGGGTGGTTGCTGTTCATGAAGAAATGAGAGTAGTTTAGTAGAAAGGATCTTTAAAATCCCATAATATGAGGCTGGCGGATGGCTTAGTGAGTAGTGATTTCTGTGTAAGGAGGAGGACCCGAGTCCCAACCCTCTGCACCCAAGTAGAAGACAGAGTTAACAGTGTG